AAAAAAAAAAAAGGACTCTTTTTTGGTTTTCTTTATCATACTAAAAACAAAGTGACCAGAAACAACATTACCATTTGCTCATATTTAATGGCATCCTTCTCAGCAATCTGGGCTGCTCTTTCTTTATTCATGTAAGCTGCTTTTAATTTCTTCTCCAATTCTCTGAGCTCAATACTGTGGGGGAAAAAGTCAAATTTAAATCTGCAGATCCTTAAGAGAATTAAGCTCCACAGAAAATTAAGTGACAACATTTTAAATTTTCTCAAAGATAGTATACAACTGGTATTATTTTAGATCCATAGGAGAAATAAATTAGTTCCTTAATGGATGACTCACATTCCTATCAGCAATGTCTGAGGGTTCCAATTGTTATTTTCTATTGTTTTTAACTAGCCTAACCAGTGACACAACACCTTGTTGTGGCTTTAATTTGCATTTTCCTAGTGACTAATGATGTTGAATATCTTTTCAAGTGCTGATCGCCTATTGTGTATCTTCTTGATATAAATATCTATTTAAGTGCTTTGGCCATTGTTTGAATAGGGTTGTTTGGTATTTGTTGTTGAATTATCATTTTTCTTTATATATTTGAATATTAAATCATTATCAGAAATATGAATTGTTCTTCCAATCTAAATGAGTTCTGAGTTAGGTCAAACAGAGATGAAAATTTTGTGTTAATCCTCCAGGTAGCCTCAAGGCAAGTTAGAACAGACATAAACAATAAATTGTAAATAAGGTATGCTCTGCTCCCTCCTTAAACCAGGGAGCAAGGTCTCACTAGGAACTAGGGCTTAAAGACTGCCTCAGAGCTAGGAGGGGATCCAACAGGGGCAAATAAAAGTACCACAAAACCTTCCTACCATTTTTAAGGTGACTTTTTCTTGATTCAATATTTGCTTGGTTGCTATAAATCTTTGGATATTATCCAGAGTTTTTATAAAGTTGCTTCTGACTACTTCTCCATGTTTTTTGATGTTTCTGGTAGGGGAAGAGGTGGGGAGGGACAGGAGTTTGGAGCTGCCCACGCTGCTATTTTGTTAATGTCACTCCAATCCCACAACTTTTACTATGAGGTATTTTCATTATCAGTTAAAATACTTTCTAATTTCAACTTTGATTATTATTTTTTGATCCAAAGGTTATTTTGAAATACATTTGAAAATATACTAATCTACAAAGATTGGTAATATTTTTGTTTCTGATATTTAGTGTAATTCCACTTTAATCAGAGAGCATACTATGTATAAATTGAATCCTTTGACAATTTGTTGATGCTTTCATTTCGGTACAATATGTCATCTATTATGGTAAATAGTTCAAATATGTTTACCATAACTACTAATATAGTTGAGTTTAAGTTGACAAGCCCAGTATCTTCTACTTGTCCTCCGTTCTGTGTTCTCTTTTTTCCCCTTTTTGCTTCTATGATGGGGTTCCACAACCACCCCCAGGTTCAATGATTCACTAAGAGGCTACACAGGACTCAACATATAGTTTTACTCAACTGCTATAACAAATTCCAGTGAAAGGTAACAGAGCAAAACTGGCAAAGGAAGAAGACACATGGGTGAAATCCAGAGGAAACCAGGTGCAAGCTTCCAAAAGTCCTCTCTCAGTGGAGTCTCACATAACATGCGTGGTTCACTCAGTAAATTACTGACTTGTATCAACACATGAGAAATGCTGTCTACCAGGGAAGCTCATTAGAAAGTCCACACCTAGGATTTTTATAAAAAGCTATATTAAAAATACTGCATGGTACTGACATAAAAACAGACACATAGATCAATGGTACAGAATAGTACACAGAGACAAACCCACACACCTATAGTCACTTGATCCTTGACAAAGATGCTAAAAACATACATTGGAGAAAAGATAACCTTTTTAACAAATGATGCTGGGAAAATTGGTTATTCATATGTAGAAGAATGAAACTAGACCCTTATCCCTCACTCTACATAAAAATCAACTCAAAATGGGTCAAAGACCAAGGAATTAGACCAGAAACTATGCAACTCCTAGAAGAAAACATAGGGTCAACACTGTAGCATACAGACACAGGCAATGACTTTCTCAATAGGACCCTTAAAGCTCAGGTAATAATGCCAAGAGTTAATAAATGGGACGGCATCAAATTAAAAAGCTGTTCAACACAGAAAACAATTAGGAGTGTAAAGAGAGAGCCTACAGAATGGCAGAAAATCTTTGCTAGCTACTCTTTTGACAGAGGAGTAGAATGTACAAAGAACTTAAAAAACTTCACACCAAAAAGAATCAAATAACCCAATTAATAAATGGGCAAATGAATTAAAAAGTCACTTCTCAAAAGAAGAAATACAAATGGCCAACAAATATATGAAAAAAAATGTTCAACATGATTAGCAATTTGGGAAATGTAAATCAAAACTACACTGAGGCCAGGCATAGTAGTGCACGTTTGTAATCCCAGTGACTGAGGAGGTTGAGATAGGAGGATTACAAGTTCAAGGCCAGCCTCAGCAATTTAGCAAGGCCCTAAGCAATTTAGTGAGACCCTGTCTCAAAATAAATAAAAATTTAAAAAGGGCTGGGGAGGTAGCTCAATGGTAAAGTGCTCCTGGGTTAAACACCAGTGCCACTCCCCCGACTCTGCAGAAAAACCCCTACACTACACTAAGATTTCATTTCATACCAGTCAGAATGGCAGTCATCAAGAATGTAAATAATAAAAATGAAGATAATAAATGCTGGAGAGGATATGGAAGAAAAGAAATAATTTTATTATGCCAGCAGCTGGATTGTAAATTAGTACAACCACTATGGAAATCAATATGTAGGTTCCTCAAAAGATAGGCATAGACTTATCTTATGACCCAGCTATACCACTCCCCAGTATTTATCCTGAAGAATCAAAGTCATCATACTACAATGATGCATACTCAAGTTTATAGCAGCACAATTACAACAACCAAACTATGGAAACAGCCCAGGTGTCCTTCAGTAGATGAATGGATAAAGAAAATGTGGCATATATACACCATGAAGCTTTATTCAGCCATAAAGAAAATGAAATTATGTCATTTACAGAAAAATGGATGGAACTAGAGACAATTATGTTAAATGAAATAAGTCAAACTCACAAGGTTAAGGGTCATATGCTTTCTCTAATATGCAGAAGCTAGAGAGGAGAAAGGAAAAGGTGCAGGCATGAAAATCAAAAGGAGATCAATAAAGGAAAGGGACCAAGGAGTGGGAAGTGGGGAAGAAGAGGGGAGCTGCCAGGGAGTGATATTGGCCAAATTATGTTGTTATATTGTGTAATTGTGTGCATATACAAATATGTAACAACGAATGTTGGGTGTAGTGGTGCACACCTGTAATGGTAGCAGCTCAGGAGAACTGCAAGTTCAAAGTCAGTCTCAGCAAATTAGGAAGGGCCTAAACAACTTAGTGAGATCCTGTGTCAAAATAAAAAATAAAAAGGGCTGGGAATGTGACTCAGTGGTTAGATGTCCCTGGGACCAATCCTTTGTACCCCCACCCCCAAAATCCCATCAGTGTGTAGAACTATAATGCACCAATAAAAAATGAGAGGGGGGAATATTTTCCTGCATCTCAGAAACATGTATTTTAAAATTCCTTTGGTGAAAATGATTGTATAAAATGGATATAATGAAGGGAATCTATTTACTTCATGAATTGGGAAATGTAAATCAAAACTATACTGAGGCCAGGCAGTATAGTTAAAATTTTAACAATAAAAACAAGTATTTGTTTCAAAAAAATAAAGAGCCTAATTTTAATATACGTGATTCTGAATTGCTTATGATACATTTTAAGCACCACAGCAAAAAGTTCCCTGAATTTAGACCTGCCAATTTGCAGATAAATACATCAATCTAACAAATAATCTATTTCTGCATGTCTGTCAAAATGTCAGCATGGCTCACACACAAAATAAAAAATAAAACTTAAAAATTCTGGCAGTGTTAAGTGAACATATTCAGTTTCAAAGAATATCCAACTGACTGACTCTGCCCTTAATTCTGAAGAGATTTTTTCACAAAGCATAAAATTCTGGATGAGCTATAATTTTTTTGAGCTCTTCAAATCAATCATCTTCTAGTTTTTACTGTTTCTGTTCAAAATTCAGTGATATTTCTTATTATTGCTTATTTGAAGGTAATAGTCTTTTTGTCTGGCTGCTTTATTATTTTTATGTATTTTGTTGTTGTCTTACAGTTCGGGGAATGAATCCAGGATCTCTTGTGTGCTAGGCAAGTGCTCTGTCACTGAGCTACGTTCCCCATCCTTTTAAAAATTACTATTATTTTATATTGTTGAGTTTCAAAAGTTTGACAAGGATGAGTTTAGGTAGAGTTTTTATTATTTTGTGTGTTTGACACTGAGACTTTATGTCTTGTATCATTTTTGCAAAATTCTTGACCAGTATCTCTTCAAATAATGCTTCTACATCATTGTCTTTCATCTGTGCAACCAGGACTAAAATTATGTGTGTTAGAACTTTCCACCATAGCCCATATTTATTTTAAGTTTTTATCTGTATTTTTTATCCTTTTATCTCTCCATGCTTTATTCTAGATATTTTACACTAATCTTTCACAAGATATCCATCATGACTATGTAATAAAATCTAATTAAATTATATTATTAAGGAATAAGAACTTAAGAGTAAAACTTTATGAATGGTATTGAACATGTTGCCATGAGTTTATCAGCCAAGCTCTGCTTTGCATAACTCTCAGTTATGTTTTCAGTAACAGCAGAACCCTCCAGGAGAAATGCAGCTACCAATGCCAGGCTCACCAGTTTGGTTTCCTTCTATTCCTGGTTCTTATTTTTACATTTTCTCCAGACTCTTTTCTCTGAGGGAACATAAATCTGAATCATCTAATCTGCAATGCTAGACGTGGACAACTCTTCTATTTAACTCTTATTATCAGTGAATTACACAAAGGCATGAGGATATATTTGCTGCATCTTCAAATGATATAATGCCATAAGTGATAGCTAACAATGATTAGAGAATTGGGACTTCAAAAAGATAGTTTGAGACTAGTATAGCATATAGATTTTGGCAGTAATTTTAAGCCCACCTCCTCCCCTGGGACTAATAATTTCTTAGAGAATATGATTAAAATTGTAAACCCAGAAAAATACAACATGGGTATATATACTGAATATATATTTTAATGAGGCTCAAAATCCCTGAAGCTCATCCATGATTCCTATGATACACAAAGAAGTCCTTTGAAATAAAAGGAACAATTATCAAAGTAAATTTCCAATATATTCAACTATACAGAAACAGGATGAACATTAACTTGGCCATAAGTTTGATCAACAGGTGACATGGCTGTCCCTAAAAAGTCATTTAATCTTAAACATCGTTAAGAAATCTGTTCTATGAATCTGACCAAATTTCCTACCTAAATATATGAAATACCATAGTGAAGCTCATCTTTATGTATATCGACAAAGTACTAATTAAAAAAAAACATAAATAAATAAAAGAAAGACCAGTGAAGTAGAGAAAGGGGATGGGGGGAGGGAGGAAGGAAGGGAAAGGAGAAGTACTGGGGACTTACATTTCATGTTTATATGTTAAAGTGAACCCTAGTATTATGTATGAATAAAATGAACTAATTAAAAAAAGAAATCTATTCTAGAAATAAGTAAGTCTGTTTTTTATAAGAAGTCATTTTAAAATTTGTGCTTAAGGGAAAGAACAGAAGGGGCTAATATTTATTAAATATTCAACAATTACTTCTATGAATACAACTTATTTTCTCAAATGAATATTCTGGGATTTAAAGCAATATTTCCAGGCAAAATATTAAATAAGTGCAATGATCTAAACAAAGAAATTTCAGTTTCAGGTGCTAAGAATTACTTAAAAGTTTAATAGTAAACAGACTAAATAAATAGAATAGTAGAAACCACAATACCTGTTTTCTCTTACTTGTTGTCTCATTTTTTCATCCTTTAGACTTTCATGTTTTAATTTTGCCAATTCCAGAGCCAATTTTTCTTCTTGTTCAAGCTGGAGTTCCCTCAATCTTTTGTTTTCTTCTGCCTGAATAAAAAAGACAACTTTAATTATTTGTCCTGAGGAATCAGACTTTTTTTCATCCAAGGTTGAGTTTGTTTATTTTACAATGTAAAACTAAATGCCTTAACAGCAAAGTTCAATTATTTATGTCTTATTTTAAAGTATAAAATATTTCAATAAGTACTTTTTTCAAATATTTTATCATGGAAAGACTTGGAAGAATCTTAAACAATGTTGAAGGCTATTCTCACTTATCCTTTCAAAAATTAACAATGTGTTAATTGTTTTTTCTCTTGAATTCCACTCTATTTTCTTATTCTTTCTCCGCTATAATATTTTACAACAAATCTTAGACATAATGTCATTTACCATGTAAATAATTCAATATGGATTTCTACCTGATAAGAATTTCTTTTTATATAACAACCATGCCATTAAACTGTCTAAATAAATTAACAATTCCTTACTAATACCTACACACATTCAAGCTTTCACACCTGTCTTATAGATAATTTTTCTTCTGGTTGTTTGTTCATATCAAAATCCAAACAAAGTCCATATCCTGCATGTAGTTATTATTTCTCTTAAGTTTCTTTTATATTCTATAATTGTCACCTACACATACATGCATGCACTGTTTTTCCAAGCCATTGATTAGTTGTAGAAATTAGAACATATAGCTCAAAGTATGTCCCACATTCTGCATTTATTTGAGTGATTGTCAAAAGTATGTCACTTGTTTTATATTTTATATAAAATGATAGATCTACAAATTCAGATCCGTATTTAAGAAAAATAAAGACTGAAAAAAATGTTCAACATCATCAGCCATCATGAAATGCAAATTAAAATTACACTGAGATATCACTACATCTCTATTAGAATGACTAAAATAAAAAATAGTAGCAACTCTAAAAGTGAGAAAATGAGAAACTGTATACTCATAATGTTAGGTGGGAATATAAAGTAGTACAGCCACTTTGGAAATCAGTCTGGTAGTTTATTATAAAGCTGACATGCAACTACCACACAAATCAACAGCTACACTCTAAGCATGAATCTCAGGGAAACAAAATTTATATTCATTTCAAAATTAGTACCCAAATACTTACAGAGATTTACTCATAATTGTTGAGAGCCACAGCCAAAGGGGCCCCAGCAAACTTCCAGCTGCCAGCTGATAATTGGCTCACAGCGGCCCCAGCAACTTCTAGCTGCTAACTGATTGGCTCCTCTGTGGTGATGCTCATTGGGCTGTTTCCCCGCCCTTTCAGACCACGGAGCTGCTCATGGGATTTTTTGGCTCCGCCCACACGACCCAGCCAATCAGCCTCAAGAGCAGGAGGAGAGGGGGGAGGTTGAGAGGCTTGTGGGAAGCTGGTGGTGGCAGTTGGGCTCTGAAGGTTTTTCCTGAGGAGCTGTGTGGTTTGGTGTGTGGTTCTAAAAATAAAGTTCGTTTCTTTTGACAAGTGGCTCCTGAATTGTGCCCAGCCAGACTGCAGCACATAATAGCCACTGCTGGAAATATACCAGACAACCTTCATCAGGTGAATGATCAAGTAAATTTAGGTATATCCACACTTTGGAATACTACTCAGCAATAAAAAGGAATATAAACAACAACTTGGGTGAATCTCCAGGGATCATGCTGAGTAGGGGAAAAAGCCAATTCCCAATATGTTAAATACTGTCTGATGCTACCTATGTAACATTCTTGGAACATCCTTTTTTAAAAATTGAGATAATTTAAAAATTGAGATAATTTAGGTGAATAAAATTCACCTTTCACAATCTACAACTTAGTAGCTTTTGTGTACTTACAATATTGTGCAACCATTACTATTATCTCTTTAAAAAGATGGACTTTATTTCTTTGGAATTTTGGGTTCATAGAAAAATTAAAATACAAAGAATTCCCATATGTTTTTCAAATTTCTTGGGTATATACTTCTTAGAAGCAGAACTGCTCTGTTAGTATGCTTAACTTTTTAAATTAAATTTATGTAACTTTTTGAAAAGAAAAAATTACAGAGATGGAGGAAAAAAAGTAGTGGTTGCCAGTCACAGTAAGGGTTGAAAGAAGTGCATGTTACAACAGAGTAGCAGACATGAGATCTGTGTGGCGATAAAATAGTTTTATAATTTAAGATGGTGGTTGAGCACATCGACACATGTAATAAAATAACATGTAAGTATACAGATATATTGTGCCAATGTCGTTTTCCAGAGTTTGATATTATACTTCAATTATGTAAGACTTGACCAGTGAGAAGAACTGGCCAAGAGCATAATGGAGCTCTCCATACCATCTTTGCAAATTCCTGAGAATCTATAATCATTTCAACATAAAAAGTTAAAGAGAGGAACAAAAACAACCAGATATGGGGGAAACAATAGAGTGTAGACTACGGCAAATTAACCTATTAAAAGTGAAACACATAACCACACCAGAGAACAGGAACATGGACGTGAACTTTGGGAAACAATGTTTGATTCGATAATGGGAGACTAAAGACAGAAAGAACTATACCAGTCTGTACTTCAGAAGTAAATTTGTTTCTCTAGGGGTGCAGGTAAGCAATTCCAAAAGTACTTTATGTGTATAGTAGGGTTGAAAGAATAAAGGAAAGCTATGTAGATATCAACAGCCAACCTTCTTTTTGTTGGAGAAGGCAATTACAAATAAGGAAAGGGAGAAGAGTGAAATGCAGGGTACACTGCCAGGCTGACAAGGCAATGGTTTCATTCCAGTCTGAGTCTGAAGGCTTGAGAACCTGGAGGACCTACATATAGTTCCTGTCCAAAGACCAGCAACTAAGACCTAAAAAAGGCTAATGTTTCAGTTTGAGGCCAATGGCAGGGAAAAAGCATCAGTCAGGCAGGAAGAATTAATTCTCTTCTATCTGGTGAAGGGTCAGTATTTTTGTTCAGTTCAAGCTTTCAACTGACTGGATGAGGCCCACCCTCACTAGGGAGGGCAATCTGCTTTACTCAATCTACCAATTTAAACGTTAGTCTTAGCCCAAACACCAGAACAATGTTAGATCAAATAACCTGAGCATGCCATGGCCCTGTCAAGTTGAAACAAAATTAACCACCACAAGCCTAAAACATATTGTTCTGATAAAAAGCAAGGAAGATATCAAAGATTAAGAGTGTCTTGTTAAAAGAGCACAGAAGCAATATAAAAAAGCATTCATTGGGAAGGACAAGATAATTTGAGCATCAAAAAGAATAATAATGTAATTATAAGTATATAAAGACCCATGAGTTCAGATATTTTAAAAAACATTTAAAAACTAAAGAAAACAAAAATTTTAAACCATAGATACCAATCTACTCTAAAATTAACCATTTATCCCCCTTTCCAGTAAGAACAAATGAGTCTAGTTGATGAGGAAAAGTTTATTATGAAGGAATTTTCGCTAATTAAATGTGAAAGGAATAATATAAAAATCAGTTTATTCCAACTCCTAATGAAAGAAAAATTTTTTTGTGAAACTACTTATGAAAGTTTGATGAGAACTTTTATAATTAAGGAAGGAGGCTGTCTCACTGAACCCAGTGATTAACACTGGTATTGTTAAAAGTGGAATGACCAGACCTCAGGTTCCTTAGGATGTGACACAATGCCAGTATCACCTATGAAGCATTCTTGCCAAGAGACCTGATCTCAAATTAATCATTTCTTTAGGGCTAACTTCCATTTAGAGAAAATATAAGAAGTAGAGACATAAAGTAAAGAAAACATGAGGAAACAAACAGATGAATACAGAATGTGGAACACTAAACAACTGCCCTAGGTAATTTTAATAAGTTAAAAACATGAGGTTAGGGCTGGGGTTATAGCTCAGTGGTACAGTGCTTACCTAGCATATATGAGGCACTGGGTTCGATCCTCAGCACCACATAAAAATAAATAAGTAAAATAAAGGTATTATGTCCATCTACAACTAAAGAAATATTTAAAAAACATGAAGTTAAAAACACAAAGGATGAAAGAGGAGCTATTTTAGATTAAAAGGGATTTAGACATAGCAAGCAAATATACTGTATGAACTGTACTGGGCCCTGATTAAAACAAAAAGTTGTAAAAGCCAATTTTTGATATAGTCACAGAAATTTGTTTAAGAAATTTTAAATTTGTTTAAAATAATGTCATTAGGGTACTCCATGAAACTATTCATACTTTGTTTGATGCATACTAAAACATGCAGAGAGAGAGATGGTATAATATCTGGGATTTTCTCAAAACGTAATAGAAAAAATTGAATAGAAAAAATTGAATAGAATCTGCTTGCTCAAAGTTAAAAAAAAAATCACATCTAAGCTTTTGGAATTTGGAACACAAAGGAATGGATACAACTTTTAAAACTTAGTTTTGCTATTCCCTGCAATATCCTACAAGATGGGGAATATATAGCCGGCACTCAAAAAACTAGTATCATAATATTTCCTTCACATTTATGAGACTTCATTTCTCCTGTATCTCACTTATAGGTTTCCCTTTTTCTATCAATTTGATCCTTTAAAATATTTAGAAATAGCATTGAAAAATGATCTCCATATTTTAGGAATCACATACATATATGTGGTACATATACATATATGAATTATTCAAAGTAGTATTTAAAATAGGAATAAATTTATACCTAATATGTAAGTGTTCAGTTTCTACCACTTCATAATGTACCTGTTTAATTTCAGTAAATTCAGAAAAGACATCCTTATATTTTTGTCCTTAGAAATATATAGAAAGTAACACATGAACTGTGGAAGTTAATAATTATGCATTTCACATTTATGTTAAAAAAATCTGGGCACTTCTTCTTGCCAATAACTAGGCATAACAAGGGTTGTGCATGTATTTACTTATTACTAAAAATTTCTGAGTAGGAAGTACCATTATTACTCCCCAAGTTGTAGATGAAGATGAAAAGTAAAAGCAAAATACCTAAGATTCTGCAGGTATGATATAGTATAGGATTTTAAAAGCCAGTCTAGCTCCAGAAAGTTGGCTCTTCATATCCATACTGGATGACTTACAATAAGGCATCCCTTACCTGACTTTTGTCCTTCTAAACAACTACAGTATTAGCAGTTGGCTTTTATCATTTCCAAGGTGAAAATGAAGGGGAGAAAAATGTAACTATCATAGTAAAACTTACTTTTTGGATGGCTTCTTCCATATCCAACTCAAACTGTTCATTCTGTAATAATCTGAGGAATCTCCTGCACTCAATACTGTCATCAGTTTTATTCTTCTCCATTTGTTTGCTGATTTGAGTCTGCATCTCTTTTAGTGCTTTAATATCCAAATTTCTGCGAAAGTTTTCATCTACTAATTTCTGATGACTTTCACTAAAGTTCAAAGTTCTCTTTGGGGTGGCCTATAATGGATAAAATGTGCATACTGAAATATCCCAAAGTCCGATTTTAAAAATATATTGAAGTAATACAACAAAATAAATAATAATAATGAAGAGTCTTTGGCTTCCTTCCTAAATTCAGAGTATACCTAATAAAAGAGTAAATGTAGTAGCTTAATACTTCATTAATTAAATAACTACTAATATTATTCCCTATTTCATAGATGAGGTATGAAAAGCAAAAGAAATTAAACCCAAGGTCCCGCAGCTTCTAAGCACCAATACTAGGCTTCAAAGATAGGCCATGGAATTGTACAGACCCAGCTGTTAACCATTACCCCGGGAATTCCTCCTCTCCTTCCACCCACCACCACACCACACGGCCACAAAGTACTATTCAGAAGCTGGCCAGCTTTTCCTAATATAAACTAATAGGTAAACCGCTGCTACTAATCTGTTGGCTCTGTCCCAGACCCATCTCTCCACTCATTGGTTCAGAATTCCTGTAAGGCAGATTTTAAAACAGATCTACTACTGTGCAGGGCGGGGGTGAGGGTGGGGGGTGCCAGTGAATGGAAATCACTGCGACTGCCCCTTAAGTAACAGCACCCGACGCCCCTGAAAAGCAAACACAAGTTTCCCACTTAGCTCTCAGATTAAGCACTTCCGAGTCCTTTTTCAGAGGTAGACGAGCTTTAAACCATAAATAAGTAGTTGTGAGTCCCTCAACTGGCTCACCATCTTGGCTCCCACAGCCACCACCTTTCTGGAAACGCAGGCTCCACCAGGTAGAAGAGACACTGGCTGGACCGCGCGCTCCAGTGTTTACGCGGTGTCCCGGCAACCGCCGCCACCCGCCCGCCCAGCCCGCGCAGGACGCGGCTTCCCATTGGTCACGGAAAGATCCAATCAACGTTGAGCTTCTTCGGAGGCAGGCAGAGGGGCTCCTTCTAATCGGTCTGAACTAGACAGGCGCGAAGTTCAGATCATCGCAGGTGCAGCTGCAAGGCTTTTGCAGACCGCTAGGGAGCTCAAGATTTCCCTCCAGCGTCTGTACGCTGGGTTAGAAGCCACGCTGAGACCGGTGTAAACTATTTGCAAGAAATACACAAACTACTGTTTAGTATATTGGGTCGAAGACGCTTTCACACCCTGAGCATCCTGTGCCTTCAATACCTACCCTGCCTTGGCAGTGGGAGTCCTGGTCACCGGCTGCTGTGCTGGGTTACAGTGGGTGGTTTGTGCTTCCAGGAACCTTCACCTCGCCCTTCACAAACACTGTTAATAAACTTTGGGGATAAAATATGCAAAGCCACATGGATCTTAATTCTGCCATATGGTCCAGGTACCAATGAGAGAACAGAACAGATGATAGCCCAATATTAGTCTGACATTTTTCACTGTTGGTTAGATACGAAAATCCATTTTAAAGAATTTTAAGTACAAGAAATGATCAGAGAAATAGCTAATTTCTGCTTAAAGATTAATAATAAAAAGGACCTAACTTTTTTTCCACATGTAAAATGCTAAGAAATTGCCCTCCCAACCTTACCACCAGGAAAAAGTTGAACAAACTAAAAACAGTTTGAAGTCTCTGGCACTTTAAGCTATAAGCTAATATTAAACACAGCCTAAGTCTTAGTCACACTAAATGCCTATTAGTTGCTATTATCCAACAAATCATATTCAGCTTTCAACAACAAGGCTAAAGGTGAGTTGCTAAAAGACACAGTAAGCATCTGAACCAGATTAGGTATGATGCATTTGAGGATTATTAAATGGGAATTTTAAATAACTGAGTAATGTGCTAAGGACTGAAAAAATGTAAATGACATGCAATTATAGAATGGGTAATATGAATAGAGAGATGGAAACTTAAAGAATCCTAAGGAAATGCTGGAAATGGAAAACACTATAAAAAATGAAGAATGCCTTTGATGGCTTATCAGTAGATGGACACAAGTGAAAATCAGTAAAAATGAAAATATATCAATAGAAAGTTTCCAAACTGAAATGCTGAAAGATGAATAACAAGTTAAATAACCCTACTGCGCATTTAGATCTCATGTTAGATGCAAATTCTTCTCCTACATGAAAAGACTACTTACTTGTGAGAGGCATGGGAGGGGGAGGGGTATCAAAGTTTTGGTCTTTTGAGGCTCTTACAATCCCAGTTACCACAAATATAAAATTGTCTGAAATGTGTTCACATGCAAAAAAAATTAAATCCAGTATACATCTCTTAACATGCATAAAATTCCCTGTTAGTCTAAAAACCTCCACAGGAACTCTATAAAATAATGATATAAATACATATATATGTATACCTATACATACACATACATATAATTTTATTTTTACTGATACATAAAAACAAAATTTTTTACATATTAACAGCGTACCATGGAATGTTTCAATGCTTGTATATATTAAATGTTTGAATCAGGCTAAACATATATATCTTTTTAAACATTTATCATTTCCTTTTTAATATTTATTTTTTAGTTGTAGTTGAACACAACACCTTTATTTCACTTGTTTATTTTTGTATGTGGCGCTGAGGATCAAAACCAGGGTCTCGCTCGTGCAAGGTAAGCACTCCACCGCTGAGCCACAATCCCAGCCCTTATCATTTCTTTATGCTGAAAACTTTCTAAATCCTTTCTTCTAGTGTTTTAAAATGTACTGCACATTATTGTAATCTACAATCACCCCACTATGCACACTAGACTTGTTACTCCTATCTAACTTAGTACCCATTGATCAAGCTTTTCCCATCCTTCCCTCCTTCCCTTACTTTCACTGGTCTCTGGTAACCACTGTTTTCCTCAGTCTCTATTGGATCAGCTGTTTTAGATTGTAAATGAGGGAGAACAATACTGTACTTGCTTTCCTGTTCCTGCCTTATTTCACTTAACAAAATGATCTCTGGTTTACCCTCTTATAATAAATGACAGGGTTTCGTATTTTTATGCCTGAATAGTATTCCATTTTGTTTACGTAGCACATTTCCTTCATTCATTAGTTGATGATCACTTACGTTGTTTCCAGTTCTTGGCTGTTGTGTGCAACTTACTGATTTCCTTGGGATGGAGATATATATATATATATATTCAGTAGGAGGATTGCTGGATCAGATCTTAGCTCTATTTTCAAGGTTTTTGAGAAATCTTTATACTGCCTTGCATAATGGCTATACTAATTTACAATCTCACCAACAGTGTGCAAATGTTCCCTTTTCTCCCCATTCTCACCAGCGTCTGTTATCTTTAGTCTTTTTTTAGCCATTCTTATTGGGGAGAGTTAATATATCATTGTGATTTTCATTTGCATTTTCCTAATGATTGATGTTAATCAATTTTTCATGTGCCTGATGGACACTTGTATATATATATATTTTTTTGAGAAATATCTATTTAGATCTGTTGCTGGTTTTTTACCAGGTTATTTGTTGTTTTGCTATTAAATCTTTGGAATTCCTTTATGTAGTCTGGATATTATCAGATGTATAGCTTGCAAATATTTTCCCTGGTTCTGGAGATTGTTAGTATACTCTGTTAATTGTTTTTAGTTTTTTTCCATTTGTCTATTTTCGCTTTTGTTTCTTATATTTCAGTGAGTCTTATCCAAAAAATCTTTGCCTATTACAAAAAGAAAGAAAGAGCTGCCCATTTACAGGGACCACCACTTGACCGTTCTCCCAAGGTGCCACATCCTTCACTCTGTTCCCATCAAAGCCCAAAGCCTCATCCGCAAAATACTGTGAACCCCAAGAAGTGGCCCACAGTCAAGCAAATCTTACAGCACCCATGGCTGAGGCAGGGTGAGCAGTATGTACCCCATCATTATAGTGTGGCACTCCCCAAACACCCAGACCCCCCAGTAATGACAATTCTGTTTGACATGGGTTTTGATTCTTATAAAATCCTGGGTGTCTCTGGCCAAGAGGAAGCTCAATGCCACAACAGCTACGTACCCGATTCTGAAGCATCAGAAAGGCCAAGGAGTAGGCGTTTCCCAGGGTTATGCCTCACCCATACCCCAAGGATTTTCCGATGTCCCTGTCCTCCCACAGAGGAGCGCCAGCAAGCCTGCCCCTTACATCTTCCCCTTGTCCTGTGAGTATCAGATGCCTGAGGATGCTCAACAGCCAGGGCAAAAGGGCATCAGAAGTGCCACCCTGCCTGCCATTCCTCTCCGCTTCCTGCCTGCAGTGCCACCCAAAATGACAAGAATCACCTGAGGCAAAATAAGCCTCAGGTGATTAAAGTGGGAAGCTAAACCAACAGGACTGAGTCTCAGGAAAGGTTGCTGGGAAACAGATATCAAGCTGTTCACTGAAAATCAGCACTTGAAGTGGAGCCAGAGGAGGGCAAAAGAGGAGGGAGGGGTGCAGGAAGAGCTTTGAAGGGAGAACAGCCATGGCCAATGGGATTGGTCAACATGGGACTGTGGATGAGGCCCTGGCTCCATATCCAATGGGCATGTCCCAGAGTTGCTTCTCTGATGTCATGCTGTCCTGGGAGTTGCATTGTGGACTCTGGCTCCATGTTCTTGCACAGGAACACCTGGGGCCCACAGGTATACTACTGAATTATGCAGGTAAGTTCTTGTGGATTGGATATCACATTTTGAAAATCTCCACCCCTGTCATAGATGACCTTTCAGGGCCATACCTGGAGAGAAGAAAAACACAGCACTGCCTGAAGTTGGAAGAAAAGGATCGTTCTCCAAGGAGGGGCCATTCTGTGTGAAGTGCCAGGTGGGCAGATGTCCACACAGCAGAGTGGGTAAAGAGCAGGCTTTTGAATTCCTGAGTTAAAATTCTTACTTTGCAAAGCACCTGGTATGGAAGCCTTGGTAGGTTTTCATTTTACCTTATTTTTGCAAGCCAAATGATCAAAGAAAGGAAAGGAATTTGGGGAGCAGAGGTGAGGGAGCATCAAGTTGAGAGTCTTCCCTAGTGAAAGAGATAATCCATAGGGTGTGAACTGAAGGACATGTGGCATGGAAACATTTACAAATTGGTGCATGAGCTGTGCTCTTAAAACATGGTGTTGTACGCCTATAATCTCAATGGCTCAGGAGGTTGAAGCAAGAGGATCACAAGTTCAAAACCAACCTCAGCAACTTAGCAAAGCCCAAAGCAACTTAGCGAGACCCTGTCTCATAATTTTAAAAATAAATAAAAGGCTGAGAATGTAGCTCAGTGGTTTGGTGTACCTGGGCTCTAGCTCCAGTACCAAAACAAAACAAACAACAACAAAAAAGAAAGGAAGGAAGGAAGGAAGGAAGGAAGGAAGGAAGGAAGGAAGGAAGGAAGGAAGGAAGGAAGGAAGGAAGGAAGGAAGGAAAAGAAAAGTGACCAGATAGAACCAGCAGATCAGGGTCCTCTGAGCACATCTGTTAACCTGTGGATCAATCCCTGCCCACCAGGGGGCACCCTGTAACCAACCTGGGCTCTCAGGAGTTGACTGGGCTGAATCTTCAGCAGGCCTCAGGGCCTAGGGTGGATTGGCTCTTTGACTTGCCCCCTTCTGGATTCCTTGGCCCTTCCAGGGTGCTAACCCCAGAGGGAAGAAAGCTAAGTGGGGGGAAAGGAGAAGTGCAACCCCCACTCCAGATTCAGGAGTTCTGTTTGGTCTGCCCCCAGGCCTAGGAGAAGCTGCTCAGGGATCTTTGAAAGAATGTTCTGGAGTGGCTGGAGTTGGGGCCCAGCGACAAGGGAGCCATTTAGACTTGGATCTGGAAGTGGATGTGGAAGAAATGTAATCTCCTGTCCTAGAAGAGCTTGTTAAATGCCTTTGTCTTCTCTCTTATTTTGTATTAAGTATTTTACATCAGTCAGGCA